GTATACTCTAATCCCTTATAGTGATGGCACACGACGAGACAAACATTTGGCATGTAATGTAATGCTGTTTGAATACAAGAAGGGAAACAACACCTTTGTAGCCACAAAGAATATCAAAGAAGTTTATGGAAATGTTTTGAATGTTCATAAGTGACAATGATGGTTCAGCAAATTTCATTCAGGTGACTTTAGCCTTAAAAACTGTGATGGCAGGGGCCAACATGTTGGAATTGATACTGATGCTCTGAAGATGCTTGTTGAGCTTAAACAAAGGCAACACACTCGTGAAATGGCCCTGAAATTGCATGTCTTTCATGAAACAATACATAAACATTTAAAGAATATGTTAAAACTCCACAAAGAAGGTGTTTGGGTGCTTCACAAACTCTCCAATGATCATCATTTCCAACGTGTAAACGTTACTTTGTCTCTTCTGGCGTGTAATGCGTGTGAACCATTTTTGGACAGAATTGTCACCTGTGATGATTCTATATGCGAATATTATACGCCAAAAACAGTGGCTCAGTCCTAGACAAAAACCATTTCCAACCCCAAAACCTGGATTCCATCTGCAGAAAGTGATGCTTTGCATTTGGTGGGACGTCAAAGGAGTAATTCATTTCGACCTTCTCAATCCACAGTGACCTGTGATGCAACGATCTATAGTCAGCTGCTGGAACGTTTAAATCAAGCCCTTCATCAGAAATGCTCTTCAATCGGAAAGGTGTTCTCCATGACAATACACATCCACATGTGGCACATTTGACAAACACAAGATTATGGAGTTGGGTTGGGAAGTTCTTCCCCACCCACCATCAGATTACCATCTTTTTCGTTTGCTGCAACATCATCTTAATTGGAAAGCATATGTGAATGTGGAAAGTGATAAAGAGGACATTGACATGTTTTTTTGCTTCAAAGCCAAGTAATTTCTTTATTCGGGGCATTAACAACGTGATTGTAAGATGCAAAAGAGTCATCCATAAGAATGAAGATTATTTCATTTAATAAATGTTTTGTTTTGATGTATAAGTTCTTTGGGTATTTTCATCTAAAAAAAGCGACATTAATTTCTTGACAACTTTATATATATATACCCTTTGTAAAATTATTTGTATTTCTATTAACTGAGCTCTAGGTGCATGAATTTGATGTACCAGGTAAATTGAAAAATATACTGAATCAACTTGCATGAAACATGGAACAAACTTTTTAAAATAATAACAGATGTTTGTGTAAAGTAAAAACACATGATTTGATAATTAGGTATATAGTTTTCAGCTTCTGAAATTTATAAGAGTTCATTGTAAAATACTTTTTATATGAAAAACAACACAAATAATTCCTTGTACTTAGATGTCCTATTTTTTTATGTTATTAGCCTAAAATTGGTTTAAGAATGGTCTAGTAATAAGCCTGTCCAGACTGAATCCCAAGGATTCAGATATAAGTAGCCCAAATAAGCAGTGTATGTTCTTAACTAGTTATCTATGAAATCCTGAAAGAAAAGCCTAAGACAAATACAAAAGAAGTATGTAAAACACTAATTTCTTTTGGTATTGGTTAGAAAATTCTGTTTTCTAACCAATACCAAAAGAAATTAGTTTTAATTCTGTTATATAAAATTCTGTTTTATATAATAAATCAGTTTAAACTTGTTTTATATTCATTACCATGTTTATTTGGATTTGATTTGTTGTTTTTTTGCCACAGAAGCAGTTACATAATATGACGAAAAATACATGAATTCTGCCTAGCTTGTAGCTCTAAGTATTAGTATCTGAATTCTTGTTGTAGAAAAAATATTTCTGTAGCTTTCAAGTGGAAGTGATATAACACAGGTCCAATTTTAGCAACAAAAAACTTAACCAGAAATTATAAAATAGTTCATAGTTGGGAACTATTTTTAAAAATACCATGTTCAACCTTCAAGTGTGGCTTTATTAGCCTTTTTCTTCTGAATTTGTGAGGGTAAAAAAAGGATATCTTAAGGATTATTGGCAAGTCTTGAAGATCAGAATCTCACATTCTTGGTGGTTTTTTAGCTGGAGGGCTTATATGTTTTGAAACCTGAGATATGTGCTCATTTGTCAAGACTGTATGAAGAATGTACATGAGAGTGAACCCAGGGACCTAATAACTGAGCTTTTACTGCCTCTAGAAGCATTAAAAAGGCATTATGTTGTTTGCAATTCCACATATTTTATTGATAGACACCAATATGAACCACAGCTGCCATAAGAAAAAAAACACGTAGTTCAGAAACCCACAGCCTACAGATACTACAAAAATTAAGTTCAGTTATTTTTTATCAATTTATAAAATTAATTTGATAACTATTATGCAGTGTTTTAATGTAATTTCTAAACTATTTTCTGGCACAGAAGTATTTAAGTAGGGAAAAAGTTAAAAATAAATATCATGAGTCTCAACATGTAAATCATCAAGTGCAAATTTATGTAATGGCATTTGAATAAAATCTAATAACAAAGTATACAATTTTTTTAAAACTCAAACTATTCACTTTCTGTTGTGTTTAATGTAATCTTGAAATACTTATAAAATGTTATGTAAAAACAATAAAGTCTAAAAATAATACAGACTTGGTTTTAAGACTCAAATTATGTAATTGTGATTTTCTTGATTTACTAGATCTTGGAAAGGACACTCGTTGAGGAATTGGAATGTTTGGGTTTTATGATTTAAAACAAGTCTATAAAGTGTGAATTCTTTCATTTCAATAACATAAAATTTTCTACTCCAGTTGGAAACCTCCCCATTACATTTTAGCCCTGTCAGAAGATTGTCATGAAAGGGTACGAAGGAAAAACAGGATTCTTGTTGAAGGAGAGAATCCACCTCCACCAATAAAAACATTTAAGGTAAATAATCATCATTGATGTAAAAATAAATTTCTATTTAAAATAAAGTAGTAGAGTTCATGTTAGGTTGAATATTGTGTTTTTTATGTTTTTCAGTTGCTAATTTTTCATGCCTAAAATAGAATTATTTAAAATTACCTGTGTAAATTCTTTAAAACAAACCATGCACAAAAACAAAAGCTTTTAATGATCCACGAGAATTACATAAAATATACTTTTCATTGTTTTGTTTATCTTTTTTTTTTCACATTAATAGAACTTATACAAAAAAATATAGGATATGCCAGTATTTCAAGCAGTTACGGAAAAAGGGTATAAATAGCAAATACCACAGGAATTTCACCCCTTTATTGTGTGAAAATGAATTGCTGCAGAGTATAGTCATGTCTAGATACTTTGCACTGTGATTATCATTCAACCACTCAAAAAGTGCCACCACTATAAAGCCTTTACAAGTAAATGCAATCATACTTTGCTAAGTAATAGTTTCAAAATGGTCACTCATACCTCTGAAACACTGTTTGCCTTTTCATGTTTAGTAGAACTTGCTTTATCAATATTGTATGACTTAATGTTCTGAATGTTCTTGATACAGTGAAACTCTTGCATTATTCCTACCCATGGTTCTGCACTTTCCCACCTTACACGTGACTTTCTTGTGCATGTGTCAGGGGACTTCTAAGCCCTACCTTCCATCCCAAAACCAGATTTTCTTGTTAACATTCATATTGTTCACATTCTTAATTCTATTTAACATGAATATTTTATTATTGGCCCTGATGGTAACACTTCTGCTAATTTGAAAATTTCTGCTGCTTCTATTCAGGATTTTATTTTCATATTTAGTTATGGGTGTACAATGGGATTCTGTGGCTGCTTCGTTATGATTGATCAATATATTTGGGTCATGTATGCAGTGTCACATGTGTTTACCTCAGTGGAATTTCCATTCAGGTTAACACTATGTCACAGAACATCAGCCTTACGTAATTGTTGATGAACAAGCCCAGTATTTTGCTTTGGCCTTCCCTGCCTTTTGTATCTAAAGAACAGAACTTATCAACTAACCCTTTTTGTGACATTACTTCTGCTGATTTGATTCATCTTATTACTCGGGTATTTGCTAATTTAGATATTGAGTCAATGGGCTAGTCTTATATTATTTGATTTTGTTTCAGAATCTTTCATTTTACTACCTTACCTTGAGATTAGAGTTATTGCTGTTCATTACGCTACAGGTAATTTTGCCAGGTCTTATTTTGTGCTGGCTTCTTCAGCCCAGCTTATATCTGTAGGCTGTTTTTGATCTGCTGAGAAGTGTTAATCAAACCAAAATTAGTAAAACTGAAGGGTGTGCTTTTTACAGCTAAAGATATCTTTTTTTTTATGAAATATAATACAAATAATTCCTTTTACTTAGATGTCGTATTTTTTATGTTATTAGCCTAAAATCGGTCCAAGAATGGCCTAGTAATAAGCCTGTCCAGACTGAATTCAAGGATTCAGATATAAGTAGTCCAAATGGGCAATGTATGTTCTTAACTAGCTATCTGTGAAATCCTGAAACAAAAGTTTTTGTGATTTAAAAAAAAATCTTTACAGCTAAAGTTAACTTTGAATTATTCAACAATAATAAATGACAGTTTGTTCAATGGTGGATAAAAAAGAATGGTATCGTAGTCAATGAACAGTATCTTCAGTGATGCATGATATTGGATCATTAGAAATTTGGGGCTGCATCTCAGCCAGTGGTGTTGGTGATCTACTCCAAACTGATGTTATCCTAACTATTGACAAGTACATGAAGATACTTATCCATCATGTAGTTCCTTCTGGAACAAGATGTCTGTTGCTTCCTTAATTATTTCCATGACTGTAAAGTACTAAAAATGAGATTATTATTCAACTTAGTCATTGGTATAACCAAACTTTTTTCCAGTATGACATGAGAAGAAAAGAAAATTTTACATCGTAACATGCACAGGGCTTCCACACATTCTTGAAATAGGAGATAATTGGGAATTTACTTAACCCTCTCCCTACAGGCTTAGCCGATTCAACCAATTTTGTGACCCCAAAATGACCATCATAGTTTCCATACAATAATTTTTAATATGTTTTGTGTACATTCATGAAATTTTGTAAGATTTCAGTAAACATTACAAGTCTTTTGTACACAAAAAAGTCAGATTTTTTAATTAACCCTTTCATTTTAGGCAGGTTAAAGAGTGCATGTCATGACCTTTTAGATTTAGCTTTAAAATTTTACTAAATACCTTTACTATTACTTATGTCAATGGAATTGACATTAAAACATAGTTTATAATTCAAATCTTAACATTATATATGTTTTAATTTCTAAATATTGATTTTAGTGTATCACAAAGCACCTCCTATTGTGTTATAGCTCCATTTATAATTTACTACACCTACCATATGATGTGGACAGTGACTAACGAATTAGTAACTCAAATTGGAGATATTGACAAGCTATAATGAAATATGAACCTCTTACCTCTTTGACTTGCTGAGATGTCAATATATTTAGCCAGATAGTATGTCTTCTCCCACTACTGCATTCTTTAAAACCTGTTATCTAGTCCCACTGATTTATTTTGACTGAGTGTTTATAACTAGAAAGAGCAGTTTCCTTTGTACGTAAATCTGACAGTCATTTTTAAATAGCTTGAAGGAGAAAGTCATAATTTTGCTAAAACTGTCAAAGTGTGATGACTAAGCTGTTGCTCTGAATAAAAAAATATATTTTTTCCAACTTATATATAGCTTGTTTAGAAATTCAGATAAATTACAGGGATTTTGTGTGCACTAGTATAGTAAGTTGATAATTTTTTTGTTTTCTAATATGTATATTTGAAGCATACAAAAATTAATATCTATTCATCCTCCACTTGGAAGAATAAGCAAAATCTTGTAACACTGAAAGTACTCAAAGCCCCCCAGTGGCACAGCAGTATGTCTTAGGACTTATAATGCTAAAAACAGGGTTTCGATACCCATGGTGGGCAGAGCAGAGTTAGCCCAATGTGTAGCTTTGTGTTTAATTATAAACAAACAAAGTACTCAAAATTTTTGTTTTTTGAAATATATTTTATTCTTCTATGTTTTAATAAAAATAACTAAAATTTAAGCATTTGTGAATTAACAACAACATTTATATATGTAATGTATGGTGGCCAAATTTCATTATATTTTGCAAAGTACTGAAATACTGGTATTATAGTTAGAGCTTTGTATTTTGTTGGCCTATATAGTTATGCCTACTGAATTTGTGTTGTTGTTCTAATTGTCTAAACTGAGGTAAAATAAAATCAAATTATGCAACATTAGAAACTTGACAACTTTAAAAAAAATGCTTATTCATAAAATCCTAGAAAGGTACAATATTTTATAAATTTCTGCAGAATAATGTTGTGTACAAATGGTTATACATCTCTAAAATGAATATTGCACATACAAATGTTGAAACATCACAAAAGTAACAACCAGAATGAAAGGATCAAGAATGGAAAGAACATTAAAAAACACATACATAAAGTTGTACACAGAAAAAAACTATCAATGAATGTAAATTTATATAGGTATTTTATTACGTACGTTTTAGAAAACTGCAAAAGTAAACTTCATATACAAAATTGTAAACTAATTTTGACACATGAAATGGATCATCACTATTGTACATACAAGTGTATGAATAATAAAAGAAAACTTTACAAAATAATTTTAGTCAAAAAACAATTTAAAAAGAAAACACTGCTGTACATTCTAATATAAACATTTAAATCTTTAGAGAAAAATCTAATTGTAAACAAAGAAAAAGAGCAGAAAGTTTTACATAAACAATACTTTGGTAAAAGCTTTAACTTCTTTGAAGAGTAACACTAATATGAATGTTGTTTGCTAAACCTCTAGCTGGCATTTGTTTCTCTTTGCCTGTATAGATTTTAAACTTCAGGCAATATCTACTCACAGCTTCTGCCAGAACCCACAACTTGATACCTCATTTGATATGTTTCTTTGGAAGATACTGGAGGAAACCAATTTACATTTCATGCCCAACATTTGTTTGTCTATAGTTAGTAGGAGAGTAGTGGGAAAACAAATGACTTTAGTAGACAGTCTATGATAGGTCTAACCTTGAAAAGTTTATCATAGTTAGAGTCAGTTCAAGGAAGAGCATTAGTATTGTTATTGAAATGTAAGTAAGCGTGGATAGATAAAAACTTGACCCTAAAGCAGATGTTAAAAAACCAAGGATTATGAAGAGGAAGATATGTAAACCAATAGTCAGAAAGAGAAGGATGAGGCTTAAGTCCCAAAACTACAGTCAAACCTAAGTATGCTAAAATTTCTTTAAGAATAACCTCATTCCATTTTACTCTTCTGTTTTTTTAGGTCTACCTTCTTACTGTGCCTGTCTATGGTTTGAATACTGACTTGTTTCACTCACAATTATATTTAAGATTTCGAAAGTGAATAAAAGTCTCAAGAAGTTAGTAATTTTATTTAAAGAGGTGACCTCTCTGAACACAGTTTCACCTCTGTTGAATGGAGGTATGTTGAGTTGCTCCTCCTTAGTGTAGTAGTACCATTGATATAAAAAGTAGGGTTAAGTTTCATTGACAATTGACAGCATAAATAAAGATCCAGGTAAGTATTATATTTCTTTTGATATTCATGTATATTCTTTACTTATAATTATAAAAGTAACAAAAATTTAGAAATTAGAAATTTATTACATAAGATAAGGTTAGATTAAGTAAGATAAAGAAAAATAATAATAATAAACATTCCTCACGAGGTATGCTCATGAGCAGCTCATGTGTTATGTAATTTGATATGCTGATGTGAGCTGCATGTTTGCCGAGTGGTTTATAATGTGTGGCAGGATTATTACTCGAACATGGCTCAAAGGGCAATAAAACAATAACATTTAAGTAGAAACAGATGTATACTGTTAAGAGCTTTAAGCTATTTAGGAAATAAAACTGTAGTTCTTGTTACAATTTGCAGTCATTCTAGGAAGAAAAAAAAGGGTAATTTATTTCCTATTTTTTATGGTGGTTACAAAATCGGTCAAATTGTAGAGAAAATAACAGATAACATATAAAGTTTTACTGAGAAAAAACATTTGATGTTTAAGAGATTTTTGAGATTACATAAATGAGATTTCAAAATTTTTAGATGAAAAAATGTTTTTTTATCTTAACATGAAAATCACTTTGCACTCGGAGCAGTCAACACTTTGACTCCAAATATTCACAGAGAAAATTTTAGTGAAAATACTTAATTAGAATATCAGATTTTTTTGTCTACAGAAAACTTAATGCTTACAAATAGCTTGTGAAATTTTGTGTAAGATACACAGAACATATGAGAAGTTATAGGATTGGAAACTATAAAGGTCAACTTAGGTTCACAAACTCAGCCAATTTAACCCAGCCCATAGTGAGAGTGTTAAGTATTTTTACTAAAACTTTCTCCTTGAGTATATGAAGTCAAAATGGTGGCAGTTTGTGAAAGATGGGACGTGATAGGTGGGCATGACAAGCGAATCCGATTTGCTAGTTTATGGGTCCATAGACAAATAAGATAGAAGTCTATTTGTTATAATGAGTAATTTTCATTAAATTCTATACTTCTCGAAGGGATGGTAAATAAGTTATAGAAGAAGGAAGACCCAGTAAAGAAATGTCAGAATTTTCATACTTGGGGAGATTGAGGATTTTTTAAGATATTTCCCTATAAAATTAAGAACTTAAAACTTATATAATATTAAAATTTGATGTATTATCTACTCTTTGATGCCAAGTTTATTTGTGTAGATGATAATATAAAGTAGTTTAATTAAATTTGAAATGTAACTGTTTAAAAAGTTGTGACATACACTTTGACCTGCCTGTTGAGAGAGTGTTAACAATTTACTAAACAAGAAATATTTGAACTTGTTGGAAACATTTGAAAATCTGCATAGGATTTGAGGAAATAAATTTTCTTAGGCTAAAAATCTGCAGTGTTGTGTTCCATTTCTTACTGAGGGCATTTGTACTCATTGGTCATTTAGGCATCATTTAACTTGTAAGTTGTAGCATTGTGTATCATTGGCAAGTTGCATGATGTATGCTGTCAACCTATGGACAGCTTGATCCAATCAAAGAGTGTTATACAACAGGTCTACACCATAATTAGATCTTGGTAAATTTGTTCATGTGTTGATGACTTGCCACCCAGACCGATGATGTGTTGACTTTCCCACAAGTATTTTTGAGGTATATCTCCAAATTAATGTCATAATATAACAGTTAGTATATTAGGGCATTGATGGCTGTAGTGTTAATTGTACTTAGCAGTCATACTTTGATAATTTGACCTCGATGTTATGGTACACACATTGTCACTGTGTCTCAATACTGCTTGTGAAACTTAAATTATTGTCTAACATAGGGATAATGTAAATGAGTGCCAGCAAATAAATATGCCCCAAACAAAGTTATTGCAAATTTGCTTTACATGTCATTCATACTTCTTGTTTAACCCTGTGATTACAAGTTCCCTAACTGTGCATTTCATGAGGTTTTATTAAACCCTATCGGCATGGATATCCTATACTGTGCATAACACAAGGGTTTAGTGTCTTACATTCAAAATTTTATTAAACTATTTTTTGTTTGTGTTATACCAATTAGAATAGCATAAAATCTTAACTACTAATCCGTATGTTAATAGTATACAAGTTTTAAGTTCTTAATTCTACAAAGCAATATTTAAAAAATCCTGTCAGTTGAGTTGACCAATACTGTTTTGAGATAGCATAGAGAAAATAACAGATAAACTATAAAATTTTACTGAAAAAAAAACGTTTGAAATCATTTAGGAGGTTTTAGGGATTACACAAAGGAAATTTCAGATTTTTGAGATGAGGGAAAAGTATTTTTAATTTTAATATGAAAATTACTTTGCACGCGGACTACTCAAAACAAATGCACAATATATTCATGGACAAATCTTTATTTTAGTTTATTAAAAATACTTCACTAAAAAATATGATTTTTTGTATGTGAAAGACATACAAACTGAAAGACTACCAAATTTTGTGAAGATGTACACACTATATTGAAAGTTAGAAGTATTAAATCTATAAAGACTTTAAACAAATACAAAGAGGTCACGTGGTTGGTCAAATTGAGAGAGTTGTTGTATTCAAAATTTAATTTTGCAACTTTACAATCAATGTATTTAAATGAAATCAGCATTATAATGTATAATTCAATGTTTTATATTATATAAGTGTTAATTCCTTTATTTCAAAAAACTTTAAATAATATAACTTTGGTTTTGTTGTTCCGAGATGTACAAGCACTAACAATTTTTAGCTTTCGGTTTATGTAACTCAAGTAGTCCTTCTTGTACACTAGAGGTAAATCTTTAGACAGAAATTATGCTTATTGCTCTGTTTAGAATTCCTTATAAATAGTTGAAGTTGCTCTTTCTATTGATGACCCTTGATGTCCTAGCACTTAGCTTTGTTTATCACCTAGAAATATGCTAGTAAGATAGTTATATTTAGGTTTTAGTTTTATATTTGAGTTAACTATGTGTTACTTATTTTTTTAAATGCATAGTAGAAAGGTATAATAATTCTTTAAATATAACCAAAACTTTGCCTCTGTTCATGAGTCTTAGTGCAGTATGCGAGTACAACAAGATTCTGCTGAAAATTAAAGTATCTGCTGATGATGATATCTTGATATTTCCTAAGAACACTCGTTGATGTGTATTGGGGTAAATAATATTCCTAAAGGACAGGAAAGGAAAATAAAACATTAAAAATAAATTATATGTGAAAATGTAAAGACTTGCAATTAAGAATATAACCAAAAGAAGATCTTTTAAGATTATGTGACAAAAAAAGTAAAATTTTTTCTATTTCTTAATTTGAAATATTTCATTGTTCTATACATTGAGGATAATATTCAGAGTCTGAGTGCAAACTTGTGTTTGAATTTGCAAGAAAATACATAGCTAGACAGTTGAAATACATATTTTGGCAAATCCTTTGGTCATAAAAAGTTTGAAAATGTTAAATGTTTATGTTTTTCCCCTCCCTTTAGATAAATGTCCATTGATGAGCATGTGTTATGAACAGCACTTGACAATACCTTGCTAGAATTCCTATCAAAACGTGGGAGGGTTAGAAAACTGTTGGTTGGAATATTTTTATAATTCTTGAAATTAATGAAAATATTCTAGAAACATTCAGGAATTATTCTTGGAATTGTTCTGCTGAATGTGTGGGAACCCTATTTCCAAGTACATCAATACTCTTTAGAAAATCATAGTTATTTTGTTTGCTGTATTAGGTAACATTTGAGACATTTTACATAATTTGACTACACTGAAGGATCTTGAATTATCATGGATATGTAAAGTTTAATAATTAGTTAACTATGTGCAAGTCACTTTAGGAAACTAACTTTTAAAAAAAGGACTACTTTATGTTAATATTTTTTTGTTGAGGAGTTAGTTTCCTTGAAAGCAAATTAAATCTGAACATTCTTTTAGCTTTACTTTAATGTATAATACTCTTGTGCATAGTAAATACCAGAACAATTTTTACTTGTTATTGTACAGTCGTGCTAAAAAAAAAATATGTTGTGATGGATTTTTAAAGGAAATGAAATTTCCTCGACCAATACTGAATGGATTGAAAAGGAAAGGGATTAACAAGCCAACTCCTATTCAGATGCAGGGGTTACCATCAGTGTGAGTATAACTGTAGCACTTAAAATTTTAATTTCCAGAACATGCCATTTGAGGAAACATCAGCATTTTTAACAGTACATAAACAGTCACAATTCAATTAGAATATGTATAATAGAAATAGTATATTATTGCAATTTTTTTTTTCCAGAAAAAATGTGGTAAATGCATTATTATTATTATAACTTAATAGAATAACCACCTGATGTTTTCACAAGTATTTCTGAATCAGTTGTTTATAGATAATGAATTGTATATCTTGTATCATTTAGAATCATTTCCTTGATGTTGTCTGCCGCTGGTTTATATATTCAGCTTAATTGTGAATTTATAAATAAAGAAGAAAAGTTTAATTGCTTTTGTGAATTGTAATGAGTCGTAAACAACTATTGTTTTATTAAGTAGGTACAAATGTAAACGAATACAAATCTGCAGGTTTCAAAAATGTAGTTGCAGATTTATTAATATAATTTACTTAATATCTTAACAGTGTTTGAAATTTTGAAATATATTTTTTCTCTTAGTGAAAGACATTTTTTAACCTTGCTTACATTCATACTGGGACAAGTGTTTAGTGTTATAGGAGGAATCAAGTGCTTCTATATAAATGCCTGTTGTGAACTTCCTGTGTATCTAATGATACATAGAATTTCTTTGCTGGCATTAGTTAAGAAAAACATTTCTCTGGACTGCAATTCACAGTTTCAGAAAATTTTTTTCCTTTAAATTATAATTGTTTTATTAAAATATGAATCTCTTCAGATATCATATTTTACTCTATCCTTTCCTCTGCAAAGAGAAAATAAATAAGTATGCTATTTGTTGCTTTCATATTTTGTGATTAGGGTACCAAAATCAAGTAGTTTCATTATTTTCTATCTGTTTCAGTCTTTTAGGTCGAGACATGATAGGTATTGCCTTTACTGGTTCTGGAAAGACCCTTGTGTTTGTTCTTCCTATTATTATGTTTTGTTTGGAACAAGAAAAAAAATTACCTTTCATTCAGAATGAAGGCCCGTATGGACTGATTATCTGTCCCTCAGTAAGTAGCTTGTATATGTGGCAAAGTAATATATTCAGTTGTGTTTAAAAACATGTAAATTTATTATCACAGCTGGAAGTCAATATTGTAGGTTTGGTAAACATTATGAAATATCATATTTAAATATTTTTTCTTCACTTTACTCCCAATTCGTGCAACTGAGATTTCCTGCAAAATTTGTGTAAAAATATTATTTTTGAGCTGTTTATTGTCTGTCACGAGTCACTACCCAAGAAGTATTTATTCAGTACCATAACTTTTCAGATAGACTGGACATGCAGCACCCAAAAGTCATTCTGAAAGTGCTGTTTTTACACAGTCTTTGTTCGTAATTTGCAGCAGATTGACTAAGAGGTTTTTGAGGAAAAAAAGAATATTGTGAATATGGTTTTTCATTGGATTTACTAGACTTAGAGTTTTCCCACTTTACAACTTGGGCATTTTATATCTTAATAATGTGTTTTAGTGTAGAGTGTAAATAAATTTTTCTCTTATGAGTCTATTCTAACTGATTAGTTTCGATAATGAATGAAAAACCCTGTAAGCATTGATCTACAGCAAAAAATGAAACAGATATGCTATTTTTATGTACTTCTAGACTAAAATCTATAATAAGTTAACCCTATGACTACTGGTGCCATTTTTAAATTCCTGTCTGCAAATATTACAGTGTTACTGAGTTACATACAAAAGTTAATTACACCACTTTATTATGAATTTATTTTAATGAAATTAGCTTTATCAAGTACATTATAATTCAAAGACTTATATTATTTAAGTTTTTATTCCTTTATTTCAAAAGAAACTGCTAAAACAATAATTAAAAACTTCATGTTTACTCTCACTTGAAGTACAAGTGGCTATAGCAACTGAACTTTAGACTGTATATACAAGAACCGACTATATCTAAAAACATTTATCTTGCTGGCAATAAACTACATGTACATACAGTTCGTTTACCAGTAACTTGATAAACATTCCTCGAATTGCCTTAGGAAAGAAGCCATTGTACAAATTTCTGAGTTTAAGCTATGCCACACCCGCTTGCGAAGTAAAACCTGTTTTGCTAAGTGACAGTTTTAACAATCTCACTATGGGTCAAAGGGCATGTCATCAAGTTATGTTCAAAGTTTTATTGAACTACTATTTTATCAATGTATGTCATTAACTTTGGTATCATATTGAAGATTATAATTCACATTATAGTATCATACATTAATTAATTTCTTAATTTAAAAGTAAATATACAGAAAAAATTCCCAAATATTGATTTTTGTGTGTTACGAGGTATGTTGAATGCAGCTTTGGTTGAAATTAGATGTTTGTGATGTCCAAGTACAAAGTCTATAGTTTCTTACAAATTAAAAACTCAAATTACCGATATTGACAAGCTAGATTATAAAATAAGAACTTCCTATCTTTTCTGTTTGTTGAGATATTATATTTAGCAAATCAAACACAATGGTCTCACACACTTCTCTCAATTTTGGAAATATTTCCTTACATACATGGCTATATAACAAATCAAAAGCTCAGAATTTCCCCCACATGGTTTTATCCAACTTCTGAAGGTGGAAAGTTTCCAAGGTGTTTTTTTGTGTTTCAAATTTGGGAAGGAAGGGGAAGTAGAAATGTTGTTTGAAATATATTTTTTTAGATCCAAGTACAGCTTAGTTACTAAGCCTGATAAATTAATTTCTATGGTATTGATATAGTAATTTATGATTTTTTGTTATTTCAGAATGCATATATAAAACCTAAAAAATTATTTTGTTTTACGTCTTCCACGTGTAAATTTGACAAGGCTTAGCAAATTGTGGCAAGTGGCATACGAGTACAAAGTTTGTAAGTAGAAGAGTTCATTGTTTTCTATATTTCTTTATTTACTGTTCTATGTTTTAAGGAAACTAACTGAAATTTAACAACGTATTTGTAAATACTAATAACATATATATATATTTAATGTATTATAACCAAGATGTGATTCTATTTTACAAACTACTGGTCTGCTAGAACAAAACCAAGACAGGTCACTTTGTAAAGGCCAGCTTTATACTGTTGGATATGATAACATGAGTGCACATGTGCTGCATCATTGCAACTTCTATAATGCTAGTCAGACACGGCTGAAAGCAATAAAATGAAAATAATATATGTATATAGATGTGTAGTTTTATGAGGTCGGTCAAATTGACCTAACCCATACAGAAATACAATAGTGAAAATAACAAATAAAATATAAAGATTTTTCGAAACAAAAACGTTTGATAATTATATGGAGGTTATTAGGAGGCTATAAAATTTTGCATTTGATATTTGACGATTTTGTGATGTCTAAAAGTATTTTTACTTTTAAAATCAAAATTACATGTTGAACAGTAAACATTCGAAAAGAAAAAATGCACTAGCAAATCATTTCTTAAAAAAATCTTAAAACTTAATAAAAAAAGATCTGATATTTTGTGTGTGAAAGCCTTGTAATGTTTACTGATAATCTGCAAAATTTCATGAAGATACGCATACTGTATTAAAAGTTATAGTATGTAAACTATAACAAGCACAAAGCAGTTTAGAGGTCAATTCATGGGCCTGAGCCTGTAGTGAGATAGTTAAGTTGAATGGCATGCTTATAACCAATAGAAAGAGAGATTTTGCTTTTGAAAGTCATTAGTGTAACAGGACATGTGCGAGTCCTAATCTGTTTTCAAATGTGGTGAAATGAGGCTAAGTTCATTCTTGAAAGTGATGTCCGTAGCACTTGGGTATTTTTTCTCACCTTATATGTATGAGTTTGATAGACAGTCAGATTGCATTTAGGATTTACATTTTTATTTTAGTTAATTATGTATTATTTGTGTTTTAAAATTTATATTTGAAAGGTTTAAAGATTTTTGAAATTATTCTATACTTTGAATTGCTAAAACAGCTTTGGCAAACTTACGAGTGCAATAAATATTATGCTGGGGGGGGGGGTAATTGTCTTGCTGAAGTTAATGCTACATTGCCCTTGAGCACTTGTTGATGTGTGTTGAGATAAATAACAGGAGAAGAAAATAAAACGTTAAAAATAAACTATAAGTGAAAAGATAAAGATGTGAAACTATGAATGTGACCCAAAGAAGATATTTGTAGATTATTCAGTGAATAGTTAAAAGGTATGTACATATTTCTATTACTTAATTTTAAATATTTCATTGCACTTTACGTTTATGATAATAGCTAGAATTAGTGATGTTGCAGGGAAAATAGAAAATAAATTATAAACATTTATCTTAAAACACTTTTGATATTCATTTAGGAGGTTCTAAAGATTATGAAAGTGAAATGTGAAACTTTAAGATAAGAATTAGTATTTTTATACTTAACATGAAAATCACATTCTGGTGAACTATTACTACATTAAAAAACAGATTTTTATTTAAAAAGTAGAAACAATCAAAATTAATTGTATTTTTTGGAAACAACATATGATTAGTTCTTATCAAATTTCAAACAATTTCACCAAGTAGTTTTCTTTTTGTAACGAAATATGACAAGAATGACATTATCTTCAGTCTGAGATCATAGCCGGAAGCCATAGGGTTAATTCATAGTATTGTTTGAGAAATGTGTTAAATTCAGCTTTTATATAAAACATTGTTTATGTTAGTACATCAAAAATTTTATGATGAAGTTCTAAAGTGTCATGGATTTAGAAAATTTAGATGTAAAATGCTTAATTTATGAATGTTACTGCAATAGTTCAGGAAGCAACATTGAGTATGGCTTAAAATTTATGGACTTTTTGTAAAGATAGAGAAATTTATAATTATTAAAATTCTGTTCTATGGTTACATATTTCCAGTGGTCTTTTCAATTCCTAGCTGGTACTGTTCATGCTTATTTTCTCACCAAATGAAGCTTCCTTATGCATCTAACCTATATAAAAGCCATTGTGTGTCAGGTCATGCTTAATTTCTTGAAATAAGAGGAGTCATAAAAGTCAAAATGCATTTATCTAGTTCAATTACTGTTTGCCAATTACAATTTTAGTGATGGGAGTGCAAGGGGCCATGAGGGATGTGTTCAGTGAAACCTTATAAGTGTAGTGAGTGCTGGTATAATAAGTCTAAAGTCAAGACATAGTGTGGGATCACCTAACCTGGAGCCAAGTACATAAAATTTATCATGAAAGTAAAAATATCAATTTTATACTTTCAATACATAGACTAACAACATTGTTTGGTTATACTTTTGTATAAAAACCATTGTTGGAACATAATGTTACTACACACAATTTAATCTTTTATTATAAACTTATTTCAACAAATACCTTGATGGTTTTTCTCTGAGATGAAAGTCATTGTATTTTACTTTAAAGTAGCAACATTCCTAATATTAAGAATTGTTGGAAAAGCCACCAAAAGATGAAGAGCAGATGGATTTATACATAATATACATAGATGGGATAATTAATTCTGTCAATATTTACTTTTTGATAGAAAAAATACTAATATTTGTGCATCATTTTGTATCTGTCCAAATTCTACAATGCATCAGTGAAGTAAATAATTTTTCTATTTTCCCAGAGAGAACTTGCTAAACAGACCTTTGAGATTATCAGTTACTACTGTCAGTGCTTGGAGAATGATGGGATGCCTCGACTACGTATATGTCTTTGTATTGGTGGAACCTCTGTTCGGGATCAGCTAGAAGTTGTTAGAAGGTGCTTATTTCTAATGTACAATTTACTTAAGAAGCAGTAGAATTCATTTTAATAGTTCAGTGTTGTAATTGGTTTCAATTCAGTTAGGTAACAATTTCAGTTTGTTTTTTCATGCCTTAATACACTTTCCATATGCTATATATATATAAAGGAATTATTAACATACATTTTGTACCTATTTTATTATAAAAATTCTTGTTTCATATGCTATATTCATTTGAAAGGTACGGGTAATGTTAATAATATGTAATACATTTTATTTACTATTACTGTGGAATCTAGTAACATAATGTTGGTTTTGTTGTAATACAGTTAGAAAAATGATTATATTTTCTTCACATTTTTGTTAATTCCACATGTTATTGTGTTATCCTTTTTACAAAATTTATACAAAAATTACTGATCCTTTGTTGTAGAATTATGAAGATATTGAACATATGAGTAAGTAACTAATAAACAGTACCAGTTTTATGAGTTTTCATCAGAAGTACAGAAGTGTTTAATATGTATATGTTTTGAGGTTGTCCAGAATATTTTGCAGTATATAAAATTATATTCTTAATTTGCTAGTTCACTGGACCAGTATCTTGCTAGTTGTACAGGTTTTGTATCTAAACTTGCTGATTTGCTTGATTCATCTGGGGACAAAATAGTTTGATGGATTTGATTAGCAAAAACTGCTATTCAATATTGAATTTGATTAGCAATTACCAAATTTTGCTTAGCATCTTCTTTAACTTCATCATTTTAACACACTATGGCAACTAAATCCAGCACTAAAAGTCGTAATGCTTTGTAAAGACATCCCTAATGAAAAAGAGGTAAGTGGTATGTTTTTATTCTAATACCACTTTTATTCAGCTTCAAACCCTAATATTTAATTGTACCATTCATGGCATTTCATGAACAAAATATTTCCTAGTACATAAGGTGAAACATTAAATCTGCAAGAAATACCAAACACCTCAGCTGCCACAAAATAATGCAACAATGGATTAACCAGAGAAAGAAGTGACTTGAAAATATTGCAACTGAACTAGGTTGCCATAAATCGTTTTTCAAACTAATATAGTTTATTTCTCTCTTTTTTTTTTGTGAGACCTCATCACTTTCTTCACAATGTGGTCTCTGTGACTTTTTAAAGGAGAAAATGTCTAGTGACTTTTCAGCTGTAATTACACCTTTCTCCACAGACATCCTTCACTGTGCATGACACAAGGTTTTGTTGTCTTACATTCAAAATTTTATTAAACTACTTTTTATTTCTATTATGCCAATTAGTATAGCATAAAATCATTGCTAATAATCCATATTTTAATAGTATGTAAGTTTTAAGTTATTAATTTAATAAGGCAATATTAACAAAAGATCTTGAATTTCCCCTAGTGTGAGAAATGTGATATTTTTTCTCTAGGCATCTGATATTCTCTAATTTATTTACCACCCCTCCAAGAAGTATGAAATTTAATATAAATTACTTAATATAACATTGTCATCAATCAGATAAAGCATAATTTTTATAGCCTTCAATTTTGTTTGGTTACAGAGCCATCAAATAGAAAATCAGACCCCTCTTGCCACACCAACCTGTCACATCCTCTCTTTCAGGATTTGTCATAAGTTTTTTCTTATGTTTAATGGTATATTATTTTGAATCATTAGAAAGCTTATGTTTTCTTCTGTCAAATGACATATTACATTAAATTGTTTCCTTTTGGTACAAGTTTTGTTCCCACGAGAAACACATTGACTAGCTTGGATGCATTTGTAAAGGCTCTTGTCACATAGTTAGAAAGCCAGAAAAATTGTGATAGTTATATGATATCTGCTTTTTGCCTGTTCTTTGTGCATTATTTAATTAAATAAAAATGATTTAGTGCATTACTACTTTAATAAAAAAAAAGTAGGTTAAGTGTTGTCGACAGCCAAAAAAACAAACAAAAAGTCCAGGTAAGTACTTATATTTCTTGTTTTTTTCCCGTGTATTTTTATTTATATTTGTAAGAGTAACTAAACTGTAAAAATAAGAAACTTGTTAGGGTAGATTAGGTCAAACAAATAATTATAATATAATAACAAATTTTCATGAGCCATTCACTTGAGCAGCTCAGAATAGCTTGTGGGTAATGTAATTGATAGCATAATGTAAACTGCATGTTTCCCAATTTACAACTTATAATAGTGTGAATAATAATAGTAGTTGGAAACAAAAGCAAATAAAAAAATAAAATTTAATTATAAAAGGAGCATTTAGATTTATTTATTTATTTATTTTTGTGGTTATGAGGTCGGTCAAATTGACCAACCGTGTATAGAGTTAGCGTACAGAAAATAGCAGATAAAATGTAAAGTTTTACTAAGAAAAACATACTCATTCAAAGTCTATAAATTTGATACTACTAAATGTTAACCCTTTCGAGTCGGGTCACGGATGAAAGGCCATGTCATCTCGTTTGTTGACTCGCATTAAAAATTTTATTGAACTACTATTTCATGAATTTATGTCAGTAACTTTGGTATCAAACTGTAGATTATAATTCAAATTTTAGTACTATATATTACTAAATTTATTAATTTAAAAGCAAATGTTAAAAAACAGATAAACTTCGATTTTTATGTGTCATTATGGTATGATGAATGCAGCACTGGTTCAGATTAGATGTTTATGATGAGAAAATAATAAGTCTGTAGTTTCGTATGAATTAGGAACTCAAATTACTGATATCGACAAGCTAGAATATAAAATAAGAGCCTCTTATCTTTTCAATTTG